AATAGAAAATTGAGTTCAGGTGTACTAGGTTTGTATGTAAAACAAAGAGAAATATCATAACTTAAGACGTTGATGTTAGTAAAATGAGAGGCATTGTGTATTGATTAATTTTTGGCAGTACTATGTAAGCCTAGAAGGGAACAGGTGTATTTGATAACATAATTTATAATTTGTGGTTTTGGAGGCCTAGAAGGAAAACAGAAAACAGAATCTATGATTCAACTTGCTACACAAATACACACTCATCATTTCACAGGTGACATGTTTATAGGTTGACGAGAAATGTATAAAGACTACAGGAAAGCTACACCTGTACAGACTGACAGGACCTCTGAAATCAAAGTGAGACTTGGAGTCTAAAGGACAGACTGCTTCTCAGAGAAAAACTGCAAGAAATTGTGTCCTCTTTGCCTAAAATATTGAGGATGAACTAAGAGGAATGCCTCATTTCTGAGGACATAATTGAAAGACTGAGAATGATTTTTAGAAAAATCTCTGATCTCTGAAGAAGTTAAAGGATAAGGTGACATACTTGCCTTCAGAGAAACTCGCCGTGTTGAACTGATTCCGTATCAACGATAGAGATATTTAGAGTAATCTGCTGTTGAAAATGGACTTGTTCTCATAGAAATCTGATGTCTTACATAATTTTGTCTCAAAAACAGAGAGATATTTCAGAAACCTACCATTAAAAAGGTGTAGCGTTTGAAAAATTAATGAGGTGCTATTTGTCACTCTGGAGGGAGACTTGTCGTGGCTGACGGAATTAAAAGTCTAATAGACACAAGTCACTTCTATAAGGAAAGTCTACCTCTTAGTCTGTGTACATGTACTGGTTTCAATGAAGATAAGGGAGGTAAAACTGAACCTTTTCTCTATTTGTGCTCATGGGTGTATGAACAGGGACAAAAACACATTGTAGGTGTGTGTGTAAGTTCACATGATGAAGCAAAATAAAAGCGATTCTGTAGCTAGGTCAACGTTCACAGAGATATCAACTGTTTTGGTCAGATATTAATCATGTTGATTGTGTATCAGTAGATTTTGTGAGCTGGGCGCCTTATTTGCTTATACATGGATGTATGTGTTGGAGAACATCTTATTGTCAGGAATTTTAATAACACTGAATCTTAACCTACACTTAGCATACTACGTGTATAGACTGGAATATAAACGAGTGATCAGGTGATTCGGTATTTGTGCCGAAGCGGGTCAGATGTTACGTCATTTTTGAGTGCTATTTTTACCCCATCTTCTTATACCTTGAATATGTCTGATCCTAATCCAGACTTAGAGGTGCTGGATGAGGTCGATAGACACACACCTGAACAGGTTAATGAGGAACAGGATACCATAACAAAGGTAAAAAGTGTATCAATATTTCAGTCTAGGTTGTCTGGTTCTCCAGCTGTGCAGTGTTAATTTTGTAAATTGCGTAACTTGACATAAAATCAATAATCTTAATATTTTTTGAAAATATGAATAATGGCAATATTTGTATTAGCTCAGGGTAAAAATCATTTTCAGTACAATATACTGACATGCCATATTTTATTTTTTTTAAATTATTAAATTTTTCTCAACTGAAACTGAACTTGAAAATTTCATCTTGGTATATCAAAGTTCAGAGGGAAGAAAATTTAGTGTAGATAACCACAAAATGACCACAGAATGACCACAAGATGACCACAGGAGGGCTTTAGGATGACCATTGGGTGAACTTTATTTGATTCCTATTGTTTCAGAATATTTCATTGAATATAGATATATAAAACAAAAATCTTCTTTCTTTAATCACACTTTTAGGATAGATTTGTTTATGTAGGAACTACCTATTTAGGTGGGAAAATTGCAGTATTTGGGCGTAGTCCATGATGAATGTAAACAGCAGAAATTGAATGATGTCATCCATCATGCTATCTTAAATATTTTAATCACTGTTTTAATATCAGATTTTGTCATATTCAGTAACACTCAAAATTATTTGAATTTCTTTTCATAGTTCCTTTTCTGTGTATATGTATATTTTACTACAGTTACTTTCCATTTGTACAGGTTCTTTATAAGTACATGAGTTTATCATGTGTTGAATTGATTTTAAGTGAGTAATCTGTAAATTTTTGAAAAATGACTGTGTAAATAATCCTTATTGATGTCTCTGCTTTGAAATGTGCAAATTCACTTAGTCAGATTTTATTACCCAGGTATTTCGAAATAGAAAGTTAAAACAGCATTTCATCTAAATTCAGTTATTTTGAATTTGAAGGGGGAAAGGAAATTTGATTTAAATTTGATTATGTTGAAAAAGAAGGGTGACAGAATCTTTATTTGGAAACTTGTTTCTGTTTCGTGACAACCATTAATGATATTCTTAGAACTTAATTCTTGTTGAAATCCAATTTGTTAAAAGTAATTGACAATTAATGATACTGCAGACTTCCTGTCCACATGGAAACAAGATGATTAAATTGATCATGCGACTATAATTACAGGATACTTACAGAAATTGGTCAGTGTGACGGAAACTACAAAGGCTCTTTTTATGAACCATTTAATTGAGATAATGACTATTTCCGTCAACTGAGATGGTGTTTGGGTTTATGTTCAGTTATATAAGGATGAACCTCTGGGTAATTGTGACAGTCTCAGGCGTGTTGTAACAATGTCAAAAAGCAAAAGTTAAAACGTGTAAAAAATTAACATCACTTGTGATGACGAAGGTAACAACAACACTAAATAACAAAAATAAACAAAAGTAATTGATCTGCTTGCTTCAACCAGTTTGACTCTCTAGAATTCTGGATACCACTGACAATGTATGGTGGCTGATACATTGTAAAACTCTGCGTTTTAATTTCACACTGTGACAAATTGACTGCATTGTTTTTCCACACATTTCATCAACTCGGTGTTAAATGACATCAGAAGCGAGAAATAAGATTTGATCAGTACAACAATCTATTTAGAATAATTTGTTAGTATTCAAAAAATCATCTGATTACAATACTGACAGACAGTATCATATAAAAAATACCTAGATATACGGTTCATAACAAAGTGTAGTGAAACAGCTTCATTGTTGTGCGTCAGATTGAATTTATTATGTAAGCTTATAGTTGAGAGGTTTCCAACAATGTCTATCTTCTTAATAGTGCCCCTCCTGTGATTATAAGGTTTAATGCAGTATTCTTTTACTGAGCTAATTAGGTCAAAATTACTGCTGGGCTAGTTAAGAATTCTATATCTTTTAGCACCTAGGTATGAATTTTATAGCACACAGGTGTGAATTCTATATCACACAAATGTGAATTCTATATCACACAGGTGTGAATTCTATATCACACAGGTGTGAATTCTATATCACACAGATGTGAATTCTATATCACACAGGTGTGAATTCTATATCACACAGGTGTGAATTCTATATCACACAGGTGCGAATTCTATATCATACAGGTGTGAATTCTATATCACCCAGGTGTGAATTCTATATCACACAGGTGTGAATTCTATATCACCCAGGTGTGAATTCTTTATCATCTAGGTCTGAATTCTATAGTACCCAGGCCTGAATTTTAACTATCAATTGTGAATGTGCTGTAAAAATCAGATTTTTTTGCTATAGAATACAGCTTACTAATTCAAAATCATATTTGTAAAATTTCCCTGTTATTACATTGAATAATTATTTGAAAAATTTTAATGTTTTGAATAAGATTTCATGCCTTTAATGTCATATATTTACATTTTTGATGAAGTTTCAAGTGATTGAAATGTATAATACATACTATATTTGTGCGTCAGTATTTTTATCTGTGACATTGATGTTCAGTGATAATTGAATATTGAAATTTATTCTAGCCCAGGTCTATGCATGTAAATATGTATCTTACTGTGGATAAGTTGGATTTATACATTGAACTGACTGAAGACATGTTTTGTTCAGTAGATAAATGAATAATTCTCCTTTCAGAATGCTACCTAACTCTTTGATTCAATTATATTGAAAAACTTGGGTGTGGATGTTTAATGGTATATATTATAGGTTGACAAATATTTTGTTTACAATAATGGTATACGGTCGAGGTCATAATACACACCAAATGTGTATACCTGATGATCAACACTTTATAACACCTGCCTAAGAATTTGTCATGTTTATACAAAACATTTGTCTCAGTGTTACCTGTTGATAAAGATCACCTGTCTAAATGTTACCTGTGAGAAAAGACAATCTATCTGAACATTACCTGTAAATACAGACTACCTGTCTGAACATTACCTGTAAATACAGACTACCTGTCTGGACATTACCTGTAAATACAGACTACCTGTCTGGACATTACCTGTAAATACAGACTACCTGTCTGGACATTACCTGTAAATACAGACTACCTGTCTGAACATCACCTGTAAATACATACTACCTGTCTGAACATTATCCATAAATACAGACTACCTGTCTGAACATTACCTGTAAATACAGACAACCTGTCTGAACATTACCTGTAAATACAGACTACCTGTCTGAACATTACCTGTAAATACCGACAACCTGTCTGAATACTATCCATAAATACAGACTACCTGTCAACCAGTTAACAAAGACCAAATATCTGAGTGCAAGAGTACTGTATCTACAAGGAGTACTTGTCCTAAGGCATTTTCTCAATAAACCTGTCTATAAGGACCATGTTTCTGTACTCAGTTCTGTCCCATTACCTGTCTTAAAACACTGTTTTTATATCAATCATTATCAGTCTGAATTGGCATTGTGTCAATTGCATGTTTTTTTACACATCACTCTTGATCAAAAACAGCAGTAGAAAACCAGAAATTCTCTCAGAATTAATGTTTTAAATAAGCTGTTGTGGCAGTATTTGACTGCCATTTGTAGTTATGGATGTGAATCATGGGTAATTCTTTGGGCTCATTGCTTGTGGATTTGTTATCCATTTAAGAGAAAACAATTAAAACAATGATTATTCAATGTTTTTCAGAAAATGGAACCACAATTACATGAGGATGAGAGTCATATACTCCGAGATGAGGGGAACTTCATCCAGAACGTTTCCCAGTTCTTTAACCAGGAGGCTTTGAGTGATGTGAAACTGAAGGTTGGCGATGAAATGTACTACGCTCACAAGTTTGTCCTGGCCAAGTCTAGTGATGTGTTCAGGACGATGTTGTACGAGAGCCGATGGTCACAAGAGAATGATAGTGAGTTTGAGCTCAATGAGAGTGTGGAGTGTCAGAATGTCTTTGACAAATTTTTACGATTCCTTTACACAGCTGAGATTTCGATACGGGTAGAAACAGCAGTAGGGATTCTTTGCTTAGCAGATAAATACAACGTGACATCACTGAAAAGCTTGTGTACAATGTATATGGTTAAGAACAGTAAATCACCATGTGTTCCCAATGCCCTGAGTTGGTACTCTTGGGCAAAAGCTCTGGGACTGGATGATCTTGTTAGCCAGTGTGCTAAAACCATTGCCTGGAACACTGACAGTATACTGAAACTTGAAGACTGGCCAGATATGGACTTTGATTTCATCAACGACTTGCTACATAATTCCGAGCTGGTGGTTTTGAGTGAACATGCATTATATCACGCACTGGTTAGCTGGCTTTTAGATGAACAACGGGAAGATTCTTTGAAACAAAATGCGGAGAAGTTGCTTCCACTGATACGCTTCCCGCAAATGCTTGTTAAACAGTTGTATGAGATTGAACATTCGGATATGATGGAAAGGGAAGAATGTAAAGAAATTTTACATGAACTGGTCGGGAGCGCGTACAGATATAGGTCACTGTGTCCCTCTCAGGTCGAACTTGGTCTTTCATTTACCGGGCCTTTTTACATGCCTAGAAATTACATAGATCTGACCGTTGACTCTGTCAGGATGCAAAATACGCTGAGGTTCGGCATTCAGGTGGATGTTCGTACATATGCGGGCCCTGTTCCTTGTAGTCAAAGAGAAGGTGAATGGAAAATCACATACCGAAAAAATGTTGACAATTGGAATCTACAAGTCTTTTGTCATGAATCTGCCACAGTCAATGGTGAAGCACGTGTTCAAGCTGCGGTCATTATATACAATGAGGACGAAAAAGTCATTCAGGTCGAACAGGTGCCCACCTATGTTTGTTCCCGTGGTAACCATTTAGCCTTGAATATCAACGTGGATAATATTGCTGATTCTAAGGTGATGGCACTACTGTTGAAGCCCGTGCCGAAGTAAAAGTCAATTAAAAGTCCAAACTTCAGGAAACCCTCAATTGGTTTGATGCCTGTCTCACAAACTTGTGATGTATTGAATTAGATCTGTGAATAGTACTTATCATTATTGTATGTCTTTTGTATGGTCCAATTTTTCTATTTCATCTTTAAGATTTGTACGATATGATTTCAGCCATTTATCTACATAGCGTACCATGATGTATGTAAAAGTATGACATCACATTCCACATTATTGTTCCCCTTTGTGATGACATCACATTCCACATTATAGTTCCCCTTTCTGATGACATCACATCCCACATTATAGTTCCCCTTTCTGATGACATCACATCCCACATTATAGTTCCCCTTTCTGATGACATCACATTCCACATTATAGTTCCTCTTTCTGATGACATCATATTCCACATTATAGTTCCCCTTTCTGATGACATCACATTCCACATTATAGTTCCCCTTTCTGATGACATCACATTCCACATTATAGTTCCCCTTTCTGATGACATCACATTCCACATTATAGTTCCCCTTTCTGATGACATCACATTCCACATTATAGTTCCTCTTTCTGATGACATCACATTCCACATTATTGTTCCCCTTTCTGATGACATCACATTCCACATTATTGTTCCCCTTTCTGATGACATCACATTCCACATTATTGTTCCCCTTTCTGATGACATCACATTCCACATTATTGTTCCCCTTTCTGATGACATCACATTCCACTTTATAGTTCCCCTTTCTGATGACATCACATTCCACATTATAGTTCCCCTTTCTGATGACATCACATTCCACATTATAGTTCCCCTTTCTGATGACATCACATTCCACATTATAGTTCCTCTTTCTGATGACATCACATTCCACATAATAGTTCCTCTTTCTGATGACATCACATTCCACATTATAGTTCCCCTTTCTGATGACATCACATTCCACATTATAGTTCCCCTTTCTGATGACATCACATCCCACATTATAGTTCCCCTTTCTGATGACATCACATTCCACATTATAGTTCCTCTTACTGATGACATCACATTCCACATTATAGTTCCCCTTTCTGATGACATCACATTCCACATTGTTGTTCTCCATCTTGGAGAAATTCATTACCATTTTTAAGTCGGTTACTACAAAACTTCACTGCTTTCATGTAACATTAGCTTTTTTGAAATTTTGTGTTGTGATTATTTACAAACATTAAATGATTTCTGTACATTGATTCTGATGTTGTAGCTGCTGGAAATAATTTTATAGTCTTCTCAACTAATTTTTGACGTAGAATATCAAAAATCAGCAATTGAGAAACAATTTGTCTGTGTGAAATACTTTTTCTCCAATTTTCAGAATTGTGTTCACAAGTAAAATCTACATGAATGCTCTTTAAAAATCAGAATTGTGAGATATCTGCAGCATCATATGATATTTGATCACTAAATGTCGGACAGAAATCTTTTGGACTATATTGACCCTACAGACATGGTGTTATTTGGAATGTTTGGCCATCATTCTGCGTCCGTGGTCTGTTGTCAGTCCATCGTCCGTCTGTCCGTCGGTCTACAATTTTTGTTATCACTATTTCTTGAGAACTACTGTATAGATGTTTCTCAAATTTCATGTACAGGGTTCTTTAGGTCCCTAGTTGTGCCTAGTGCCTTGTTGAGTTTGGAACTGATCAGAAAAACAAATGAGCGGAGAGGACTGATCAGAAAAACAAAATGGCCAAAAGGCAGCCATCTTGGATTTTGCCTAGTAAAGATTGTTATTGCTATTTCTAAAGAAGTATTGAATCGCTCAAATTTCATACATATTTCCCTTTGATCTCTCCTTGTGCTCAAAGATCCCGCTGGGATCTCTTGTAGTTAAAACCCTACTGCTCTTTCTTGCCTGGATGAATTTCAACCAAATTTGGTCTGATGCATCATTGGACAAAGGTAATCATTTCTCCCATTCAGAATTTTGATTCGACCCCTAGGGGTCGGGGGAACGGGGCCCCAAAGTTGGAGGTGCTGAAATTAGATTTAAAACCCTACTCCTCCTTTCTGCCTGAGTGGATTTCAACAAGCTTTGGCCTGATTCATCAGTTAGGGTAGGCAATTACTTCTTAAATTCAGAAATTTCATTTGACCCCTAGAGACTTGAGGACTGTGCCCCAAGAGGGAAAATAAGACAATGTTTTGCTTCGAAACACTTCTCCTTTTTAATGCTTTAATGGATTTTAACCAAATTTGGGCCGAAACAATTGAGAGTGGAGAATTATTTCTCAAATACCGGAGGTTGATTCAACCCCAAGAGACCTGGGGATGGATGCAGCTCCAAAGGGAAAACCAGTAGATATTGCTTCAAAATGCTACTCTTTGTTAATGCTAAACCAAATTTAATCTAAGCTATCATTCAGAAAGTTGAACAACTCCTAGTTAATAGGAATAACTTTGATCTGCTTGAAAGGTCACAGGGGTCAAATGTGTTGAAATGCATAAATAACTTCTTCTCAATAACTGAAAGGCCAAGGATGATGATATTAGGCATGTAGCATGCTAGGATGAAGGGCTACCAAATTTGTAAATATGAATGAAATTGACCCACTTTCAAGGTCACAAGTCTCAAATACGCTAAAATGATTAAATGACTTCTTCTCAATAACCAAAAGGCTCAGGGTGCTGATATTGGACAAACTTTCAAGGTCACAGGGGTCTAATGTTTTGAAACCAAATAACGGAAAGGCCAAGGGTCTTGACACTGGGCCTGTAGCTTGCTTTTTCAACAAGTAATACATCCGGAAATTGTGAGTGCATGTATAAAGAATATGATTTCAAGTTTGCAGAAAATTTTTTGATGAACCAACAATGTCTTCTATGTAAGTTGTAGAGTAGTTGAGCAATTTATTTTAGGCTTATTTTGCCTCTTTCATAAATAGGTCTTTATTGCCAGATGGCAGTTAAGGCCCATGGGCCTCTTGTTTGATGATTGATAATATGTTCTCTTACCCTGCGCAGGTAAATTCATGCTTTTTCACTGTGTGAAATTTCCTTGTCTTGCTGTAGACAAGCTACACAATTTGTTGCACAGACAAAAACAATTGAAGTGACGTCACTGACATGATCTCAGTAGTTGAACTACTTTTATGAGTTCATGCACATACACTACTTTATCTGCTACTGAAATCTGGTGTTATCCTCAAAACTAAAAATCATAGGTGTCATTAAGATTGAAATTCATCTTAATCCACAACTTATTATAAAATATATATATAACATATCAAGAGAGTAATTTTATCTAACATTTTATTTGCATGTACCAAAGAATTTTATGATATGTAACATTAAATTACAATGCTGCGCCTTGGTCACTGTTCATACATGTTTTGGTTTACACACAATATGCTTCGTCTTGCACTCAAGACATGGAAAACAGGGTGAAAGGAAAATATTCATTCACCCCTTTTAGGATGAGACAGGGGGATCTCAACCTTCTGGGGAAGATTATTAAGTTTTCAGATACTCGGCAAGTCTTGTGTTTGACAACTCTATAACCTCCTCTTCGGGTTGAGATCCCTCTATCTCCTCCAAAGGGAATGAAAGATTCTATTGATCTTCTTGGAGTTTACACAAAAGATTTTTTTCTGTTTTTATTTCACAAAATATAGAATGTTTCTCTCCTAATTTATCTAAACACAAACACTGTTATTTTTGTCTACTGTAATTAGCATAGTTTATGCTGGATGTAATGGTTACTAATTGGCTGTATAACATGTTATATTTGATGTTTGATGAAGAATTTTAATCACAATAATGAAGCCTCTGAGAGAGAGGTGAAACTAGTAGACCGAATAAAACCACACTCAACTTTTAGCTCGCGAGTATGTTGTGATTAATATCTTCATCAAACATACTTCTAGTCGTTGTTTAATCACCCTGCATACCTGTGGTGTCCAAACTCACATCGAAATACCCACCTAATCTCCCCTCATTCACATCGGACATTGGCTTCCTCCCTTTTCAGTTTCTTGAGAACATATGTTATATGATATATTCATGTCATCATTCAGCATTCATAAAATTCCAACAATCAAAGAGATGGTGCTTTTCTTCAGTCAATTCCAATCTATACGAAATATAAGTGGGATGTTTCTATATCATACTAGTTAATTATCCACCTTGATGACTTCACCTGTTCAAGTTCATTTTTGAAAATGTTAATGCACTGTGGGTATTAAGATTTAATGGATTAGAAATAATGTATGTATTTATACCTTACTAGTGCACTACCCTTTATTTTATAAGAACATAAGAGTTATCTCCCTTCTGATAATCCATTATTTCGACACTGACAAACAAACCAGTTTCAGGCTTTAACGGATATTGTTTACCTGAACTTACCTACCCAGAAAAAATTAAAAAAAAAAAAAAAAACAAGCAGATTTTTTATGTAAATTGTCAATAAAATGAGATGATATTTTCCTGGCAAAAGCATTTATGGTTGATTTTAGACGTACACCAGGCCAGCAGTCTACGCGTTTAGTTGTCAAAGTCAAAGGTTGAACTGTGAAGGGACACATGTCTAAGTAGGACACACAAGTGTATGTAATTTTTGGTTATGCATTTCGTTCACTTTGTTTTCCTCAGGTAGGGAGTTCAGGCTGTGTAACACATATAGGTTGTATGACAATTATCACCACTTGTAAAATCATTATATAACTAATTAGAATGGGTGTCCTTAAGATTGATTCTATCATAATCTGGTAATTACTGATTTTTATATGAGTGCAATATAAATATACTTATTTATTTTGACAACATACAATATATGTACATGTAAACATTCCTTCTTGAACTTAAAAAAAATATATTTTTTAATCCTCATTTAGTGATATTTTTGTTATTTTTTCCAGAGGATAAGTTAACTGTTCTTTCAGAAATTTCTCTGTTGCTCTTTATTTCACAATATGTCTGTTTGCTGGGAATATTGGCCTGTAAACACTTGGTTTGTTGTTTACTTTGCCTTAATGTCCTATAAGAAACCAGGGTCTGTACCTGGTAGTGAAAAAGACTGTCCGATGTCTGAACTACTCAGTCACTGTGGCCAGGGTTATTATGAGACAGGGTCTCCTTTAATTTGTGACTCCAACACTACATATAGGGATGAGATACCATATGCCATTAAGAGAAATTTGAGAATCCCCACAAAAGCATAAATACATGGTACAGACTTTCTTATCCAAGCTCAGATGTATTTAACTGAGGCTTTAGAATGTATTATTTACAAACATGATCCATCAACTTTAACTACATTAACACAGTGAACATCAACGTTAACTAGAGTAACACTTAACATCAACATTAACTAGAGTAACACTTAACATTAATTAGAGTAACACTTAACATCAACGTTAACTAGTAACACTGAACATCAACGTTAACTAGAGTAACACTGAACATTAACGTTTACTAGAGTAACACTGAACATCAACATTAATTAGAGTAACACTGAACATCAACGTTCACTAGAGTAACACTGAACATTAACATTAACTAGAGTAACACTGAACATTAACGTTAACTATAGTAACACTTAACATCAACGTTAATTAGAGTAACACTGAACATTAACTAGAGTAACACTGAACATCAACATTAACTAGAGTAACACTGGGCATCAACATTAACTAGAGTAACACTGGGCATCAACATTAACTAGAATAACACTGAACATCAACGTTAACTAGAGTAACACTGGGCATCAACATTAACTAGAGTAACAACAACTAGAGTAACACTGAACATCAACGTTAACTAGAGTAACACTGGGCATCAACGTTAACTAGAGTAACACTGGGCATCAACGTTAACTAGAGTAACACTGGACATCAACGTTAATTAGAGTAACACTGAACATCAACGTTAACTAGAGTAACACTGGGCATCAACGTTACCTAGAGTAACACTGGACATCAACGTTACCTAGAGTAACACTGGACATCAACGTTACCTAGAGTAACACTGGACATCAACGTTAACTAGAGTAACACTGAACATCAACGTTAATTAGAGTAACACTGGACATCAACGTTACCTAGAGTAACATTGAACATCAACGTTAATTAGAGTAACACTGAACATCAACATTAATTAGAGTAACACTGAACATTAACTAGAGTTACACTGAACATCAACATTAATTAGAGTAACACATCAACGTTAATTAGAGTAACACTTAACATCAACATTAATTACAGTAACACTGAACATTAACGTTAATTAGAGTAACACTGAACATCAACGTTAATTAGAGTAACACTTAACATCAACATTAATTACAGTAACACTGAACATTAACGTTAATTAGAGTAACACTGGACATCAACGTTAATTAGAGTAACACTGGACATCAACATTAATTAGAGTAACACTGAACATCAACGTTAATTAGAGTAACACTTAACATCAACATTAATTACAGTAACACTGAACATTAACGTTAATTAGAGTAACACTGAACATCAACGTTAATTAGAGTAACACTGAACATCAACATTAATTAGAGTAACACTGAACATCAACGTTAATTAGAGTAACACTGAACATCAACGTCAATTAGAGTAACACTGAACATTAACTAGAGTAACACTGAACATCAACGTTAATTAGAGTAACACTGAACATCAACGTTAATTAGAGCAACACTGAACATCAACGTTAATTAGAGTAACACTGAACATCAACGTTAATTAGAGTAACACTGAACATCAACGTTAATTAGAGTAATACTGAACATCAACGTTAATTAGAGTAACACTGAACATTAACATTAATTAGAGTAACACTGAACATTAACTAGAGTAACACTGAACATTAACTAGAGTAACACTGAACATCAACGTTAATTAGAGTAACACTGGACATCAACATTAATTAGAGTAACACTGAACATTAACTAGAGTAACACTGAACATCAACATTAATTAGAGTAACACTGAACATCAACGTTAATTAGAGTAACACTGAACATCAACGTCAATTAGAGTAACACTGAACATCAACGTTAATTAGAGTAACACTGAACATCAACGTTAATTAGAGTAATACTGAACATCAACGTTAATTAGAGTAACACTAGAGCAACACTGAACATCAACATTAATTAGAGTAACACTGAACATTAACTAGAGTAACACTGAACATCAACATTAATTAGAGTAACACTGAACATCAACATTAACTAGAGTAACACTGAACATTAACTAGAGTAACACTGAACATTAACGTTAACTAGAGTTACACTGAACATCAACATTAATTAGAGTAACAATGAACATCAACGTTCACTAGAGTAACACTGAACATCAACGTTAACTAGAGTAACACTGAACATCAACATTAACTAGAGTAACACTGAACATCAACGTTAATTAGAGCAACACTGAACATCAACGTCAATTAGAGTAACACTGAACATCAACGTTAATTAGAGTAACACTGAACATCAACGTTAATTAGAGTAACACTGGACATCAACGTTAATTAGAGTAACACTGAACATTAACGTTAATTAGAGTAACACTGGACATCAACGTTAATTAGAGTAACACTGGGCATCAACGTTAACTAGAGTAACACTGGGCATCAACGTTAACTAGAGTAACACTGAACACGTTAATTAGAGTAACATAACTAGAGTAACACTGAACATCAACGTTAACTAGAGTAACACTTAACATCAACACTGAACATCAACGTTAATTAGAGCAACACTGAACATCAACGTCAATTAGAGTAACACTGAACATTAACTAGAGTAACACTGAACATTAACATTAATTAGAGTAACACTGAACATTAACTAGAGTAACACTGAACATTAACTAGAGTAACACTGAACATCAACGTTAATTAGAGTAACACTGAACATTAACGTTAACTAGAGTAACACTGAACATCAACGTCAATTAGAGTAACACTGAACACAATTAATTAGAGTAACACTGAACATTAACGTTAATTAGAGTAACACTGAACATTAACTAGAGTAACACTGAACATCAAACTAGAGTAACACTGAACATCAACGTTAACTAGAGTAACACTGAACATCAACGTTAACTAGAGTAAAACTGAACATAATCATTAAATAGAGTAACACAGAACATCAATGTTAACTATAGTAACACTGAACATCAATGTTAACTATAGTAACACTGAACATTAACGTTAATTAGAGTAACACTGAACATTAACGTTAACTAGAGTAACACTGAACATTAACGTTTACTAGAGTAACACTGAACATCAACATTAATTAGAGTAACACTGAACATCAACGTTCACTAGAGTAACACTGAACATCAACGTTAACTAGAGTAACACTGAACATCAACACTGAACATTAACATTAATTAGAGTAACACTGAACATTAACTAGAGTAACACTGAACATCAACGTCAATTTATAGTAACACTGAACATCAACGTTTACTAGAGTAACACTGAACATTAACGTTAACTAGAGTAACACTGAACATCAACGTCAATTAGAGTAACACTGAACATCAACGTTTACTAGAGTAACACTGAACATCAATGTTAACTAGAGTAACACTGAACATCAACGGCAATTAGAGTAACACTGAACATTAACGTTACCTAGAGTAACACTGAACATCAACGTCAATTAGAATAACACTGAACATCAACGTTTACTAGAGTAACACTGAACATCAACATTAATTAGAGTAACACTGAACATCAACGTTAACTAGAGTAACACTGAACATCAACACTGAACATTAACATTAATTAGAGTAACACTGAACATTAACTAGAGTAACACTGAACATCAACGTCAATTTATAGTAACACTGAACATCAACGTTTACTAGAGTAACACTGAACATCAACGTTAACTAGAGTAACACTGAACATCAACGTTAACTAGAGTAACACTGAACATCAACGTTAACTAGAGTAACACTAAACATCAACGTTAACTAGAGTAATACTGATCATCAACGTCAATTAGAGTAACACTGAACATCAACGTCAATTAGAGTAACACTGAACATTAACTAGAGTAACACTGAACATCAACGTTAACTAGAGTAACACTGAACATCAACGTTAATTAGAGTAACACTGAACATTAACTAGAGTAACACTGAACATCAACGTCAATTAGAGTAACACTGAACATCAATGTTAACTATAGTAACACTGAACATCAATGTTAACTAGAGTAACACTGAACATCAACGTCAATTAGAGTAACACTGAACATTAACTAGAGTAACACTGAACATCAACGTTAACTAGAGTAACACTGAACATCAACGTTAATTAGAGTAACACTGAACATTAACTAGAGTAACACTGAACATCAACGTCAATTAGAGTAACACTGAACATCAATGTTAACTATAGTAACACTGAACATCAATGTTAACTATAGTAACACTGAACATCAATGTTAACTATAGTAACACTGAACATTAACGTTAATTAGAGTAACACTGAACATTAACGTTAACTATAGTAACACTTAACATCAATGTTAACTATAGTAACACTGAACATCAATGTTAACTAGAGTAACACTGAACATCAATGTTAACTATAGTAACACTTAACATCAATGTTAACTATAGTAACACTGAACATTAACGTTAACTAGAGTAACACTGAACATTAACGTTAACTATAGTAACACCAATAACACTCGAAATTCATTTCAGAAGAAGTAATACGTGTAGGTTAAACACCTATTCAAACAGTTTAAACTTAACTTGATGTCAGTATTTTTGAGGATAAGTTTTAGATGTCAA